ATTAAAAAATATGGATAAAGTAATTTAAGAAGGTTAAAAAAATTCATCCAAACATGAAGAATTGTTAAAATTTCGGTTCCTTTAATGTAGATCCGATCTTTTTGATAAGGAAACTACTAAATTATTTTTGAAATAATTATTTTTAGAATATAAATATGATAAACTATTAAAACAACCAAAATTATTAAAAGATGAATATTGGATTAAATTATTCTTTATTTTATAAGAGAAATAAAAAAAAACAATAAAAGAATTAGAATTAATTTATTAAGGTAGTAGAGATGGATTAAATGGTAATTCATTTTGGAATAAATGTAATGGTAAGTGTAATCTACTTATGATATTTTAATCTTAGAGTGGATATATCTTTGGTGGATATTCTCCATGTTAATGGTAATGCAATTTAAATAGTTATGTTTAAGATGATACATTATCATCATTCTTATTCTCATAAACACATGATTAAATCTATTCTTTGAAATAGGATTTAAAATCAAGAGCCATCTATTGTAATTCTGGATATGGACCTACATTTGGAGGTGGTCATGATATATATATTAATGCACATGACTTTAAAGAAGGTAGTTCTAATTTAGGTTATTCATATTAATGGGATAAATATGAGAATAAGAGATCTACTCATTTATTTGGATAAGATAAACCAAATATTAGTGAATGTGAAATATTTGAATTAAAATTTGTTTGAATTTTATAATTTATTATTATCTTAATATCAAATGATATTAATTTATTTCTTATATTTTGATTATTAATTTATTGTTTGTTAGTTGATTGACTTAAATTTACAACCACATAACTTTTAAACTAATGGAAAAGAATTAATTAAGGAAGATAAAATTTTTAGAAGCTTTTATTTAAAATAACAGCTTTTGTTTTTCTTAGTTTGAAAATTTATCATCAAACTAAAAATAATTGAAAAAACTTAATTCTTATCTATTCATAAGAAAAGAGAATTTTTATTGAAATATTTTAGATGATTTAGAAGTAAGAACAATAACGAAAATTGATTTTACTGCACTATTAAGATATATTATCAAATTCATCCATTAGTATGATAAAAAATGGAAAGGCTTGAGTTTTAGTTTGGATTTTATATGATTATTAAATCCGATTATTAATTCGAAATTATTATTTAGAGATAAATTGCATTACTGCTTTAATTAAATTAAAAAAATTTAACATTTGTATAAGGATAATCAAGCTTTAGAAAATTCAAGCTGGAGAAAGATATGTTGAACTGGATGATGAAATGTTTGCCAGGATGATTTGTGAGGTAAAGGAATTAAATATAATAAAGAGTATATTATTTGTTGAATAGAAAGATAATAGAAAATTAAACAAATGTATAGTA